CCCTCCTGCCTGCACCCTGCTGCCTGGATCCCTCCTGCCTGCACCTTCCTGCCTGCTCCTTCCTCCTGCCTGCACCTTCCTCCTGCCTGCACCCTGCTGCCTGGATCCCTCCTGCCTGCACCTTCCTGCCTGCATCTTCCTCCTGCCTGCTCCTTCCTCCTGCCTGTATTCCTCCTGCCTGCACCCCTCCTGCCAGCATCCTCCTGCTTGCACCCATGCTGCCTGCACCCTTCTGCCTGGACCCCTCCTGCCTGCACTGCCCTCAGCTTCCTCCTGCCTGCACCCCTCTTGCCTGCAGCTTCCTGCATCCTGCCTGCATCCCTCCTGCAGCCTCCCTTCCCCCATCGGTGGCCTCCTCCTGCCTGCATCCTGCCTGCACCTTCCTTCCACCCTCCCGCAGCCTCTCTCCCCTCTCCTGCATCGCTCCTGCAGCCCCTTCCTCCCTCCTCCGCCTCCTCCCTCCTGCATCCCCCCCAGCCCCACATCTGTCCTGCCTGCAGCCCCCCTGCACCCTCATCCCCGCTGCAGCCCTGTGTCCCCCATCCCCACAGCTCTGGGTCCCTCCCTCTGTCCCTGCCTGCACCCTTCTGTCTCTGCCTGCACCCTCCCATGCCTGCCCGCATCCTCCCATCCCTGCCTGCACCCCTCCGTCCCTGCCTGCACCCTCCCATGCCTGCCTGCACCCTTCTGTCCCTGCCTGCACCCTCCCATGCCTGCCCGCACCCTCCCATGCCTGCCCGCATCCTCCCATCCCTGCCTGCACCCTTCTGTCTCTGCCTGCACCCTCCCATGCCTGCCTGCACCCTCCCATCCCTGCCTGCACCCCTCCGTCCCGGCGTTCCCGCACCCCCTGCCAGGCACAGTCCCTACCCCAGCACAGGGTGCCCCCAGCACAGGGTGCCCCGGGGTTTCACCATCGCCCCGTTGCCCTGCGGCCCCAGCACCCTGCCCGTCTCCCGCATGCACCGAGCTGGGGAGGCCTCTGCGGGTGCCCAGGAGGGTGCCCGCAGCCGGGGGTGCAGCTGGGGTTGGCCGTGCCAGGAGGGAAACTGAGGCAGAGCAGAGCCAGCAACGGTTCATATATTTATTCATAAGCCAAGTTATCAATAAAAAAGTTCCATACTAAAAGGCCTTTACATAGAGTTTGCTGTTCATAAAACCTTTGTGTTTTTAATCCTTTTTTCCTTTTTTTCTTTTTTTTTATTCTTTTTTTTTTTTT